TCCTTTCCAACCTAGTGATTCTGTGATTCACAAAGACTTATATTTAAGAACATGTTTCTTTTTTGCCACATGTGCTGCAAGTTAGGAAAACATGGAATATGCAGGAAGGAAAAATTGGTAAGTTGTTAAGAGAGAAATGAAAATTCTGTCTCTGATTTGGTGTTGAAGATACAACTGCACTTTCAGGCTCTGACAGAGTTCAGAGTGGCTGTGGCAAATTGGTTAATTTCTCTTCGTGCAGATTTCACGTTTCTGAGACATCACTGCTTGCTAGTGTTTTCCTAGATACCATAGCTATGATTTACCTCTAACTTCATGGACCAAGATATATCACTCAAAGAAAGATTTAATCTGTTAATGATGACTTCTATTAATGTCACCTGCCACTTCAGCATCATCACTTCAGTCTTCCTGCTATAAATCTGTATCCCAAGCACAGTGACAGGTTGTCTCCTCCCATAGGCTCTCATGCCCTCTCTGTTTTAGGTGATGCAGATGTGCCATCTTCACAGGTGTGCAAACAAAAACACTAAAGACAAAGTGATGTCTGAAGGCTAGGAACTTCCTAGTCCTTAGATCTTTCATTGGTATTAAGTTAATATTAATTAGCCAAAGTTTAGTACCATACTTCCAAAAAAAGAGGACGTCTATAGGGAATCTGTCTAGTTAAAGGAGATATTGAGCCAATTCTCTAATTAGGATTCAGAGAGCCTTAAGGTATTTTTTAGTAGTTGGAAAATATGTATTTCTAAAAAAGTTAAAGCAAAAGTTTTCCAAAGGTACTCTCATCTTTGGCAACTTGAACATGCTAGCTGCCATGGAATAAAAGTATTTTCTTTGTGTAAATTACTATGGTTGAACTGATCCTGTGTGAAAAATAATAGCTCTGCACTTAAGTGAGGTATTCAATATTAAAAGGGTTTACAAGGTACAAAACACTTCTTAAAGCATTGAAGCCCATGTCGCAAAAAGTTTGCTGACTCATGTGAAATGCATCTTACAAAAAAGTCCATGAACTTAGTAACTATAAATTGATGAAATATTTGTTAAAAATAGAATCCTTTGCTTGTGGCAATGAATCTAGGGCCTGTAGGCAGAGTAAAACATGTTTGGAAGGATTGCACATGCCAGCCAACTACGCATAGTGTTAAACTGATCAGGACATTAAAAGTACAAAGTGTTACGTTTGACAGCATTATGTATTCTGGGAGGTGATTTCAATTGTGACTTAAAATAAAAATAATAGCAATGCCTCTAGTCTGTACTGAAGGTGGGATAGGATACTTGCAGTCAGCTGAGTACAACTATAAATGTTGTTTTTCATTGCGCTTACAATATAATTATACAAACATAACTCACATTATTTCCAAAGCCCCCAGTTTGTCTGTCTAACCATATGGCTATGCACTACTCAGTTAATGACTTTTGCAGAGCACTCAAGGAATTTGATTGATATGTATATTGTCATTTGTTTGTTATACAGGAGAGATGAAAGGAAGAAAGAAGGGATGTTCCTTACCTTTAGCTTTTATCTTGCTGTTTGTCTGTATCACTGGGCACGCGACTACTGACTTAGACGACATCGAAGAGGACGATGTTCTCGGTAAGAGTTTACAAAAATGACACATAAAACAACCTCAAATAACAAAACCCAGTGTGTTAAAATGCACTGTAGATGTAATTCTGTACTTGAGAATCTTTCTGGGAAACTTCTGAAAGTGGAACTAAGCCAGAAATGGACTGGTTTCTAATGAACAGGGAGATGCTCAGAATTTTGCATTAAGGTCTAGAGAAATTGCCTTTTACAAAGATTTTTGTTTCCCATACTTTTTGTAACTTCTAATCCTAATCAAACATTGTGTTAGATATCAAGATTATTCCCTTAAAGCTCTGCTTTAAGACCCATGGAAAAGTTCAGTGTTAGGGAAAAGAACATATAGCTGGTAAACTCAGGTTTTACCTCCCCATGCAAGTGGAGCAGAAACATGACGGATAACAGTGTAGACTAATGTTACTCTGTCCTGTGCACAGCTCTCTTGAGTCACAGTTAATTTGCAGAGTTTGGCCTACAGTCGATGCAATTACTGCCCTAGTTGTTTTTCTGGGCCTTGTTCATCACCAGAACAAGAAATCTGCTGGATTAGGTTTTTTTTCCCTCTAGTTACTTGCTTTGTTTATAAAAGACAATAAGCAAATCATCTCAAGGAAATGAAATAGTGTTTTTATTGGACATTATTTTATCACGGGTTGTTTTACAACTGCTCCTTTAAGATTATATAACCAGTAACTGATTTAGTCTGAAGAACAGTTCTGAACTTTTGGGTTTGTATTCCAAAGTAAAAAACAATTACGTGTGATACTTAGAAATTAAGCTAGGACCCTGGTTTTATGACTACTGAAGACTCTGTTGCAGTGCTTACAAAAATTTTTTTTTGCAGTACTCTGTTTTTATAAAATAATTATTTTTTGTTGCTAATTAAAATTATATTTGTGGTTTCTTAAGAGTGAATTTCCGGTCTCGGTGAAATTAACTGTAGCAACTTTGTTTCTATTTATTTTCTGAGTTGGATAGTTATAAAACATTGACGTATTTTACCCTAGAATTCAAAAAATTTCAGGTATTAAAGCATAAAATAAGTTGTGTGCATCCATTATTTGCAGTGTCATGCTTTTAGATTGCATTGGGTACAAGTGCTTTGTGAATATGAGGGGTTTCTTTGTCTATTAGTATTTAAATTACAGGAATAATTAAAGTTGCAAGTCAAGTCCAACAGGATAAAAAGCATTCTCAATTTGTTCTCTTCTGGCAAAACCTGTCATTTTTCCACCAATAAATAAGGGTGATAACAAAAATAAGATATAAAAATAACTAGTTTATATACATTGTTCAGTAATACCTTATGTGATGAGGAACACTTTAGATAATGAAAAAGCCTGAAGAAAATGACTCACAAGTTGAATGTCCTTTTTATTTGTATGTGAAAGTTTATCAAGAATAAATGTGACTGCTTAGAGAAAGGGTAGGAAACACATGGGTAGGAAGAGCACTGAACAGTGTGCGGGTGGGAGGCTGTCAAAGTGACAAAGATGGAGAGAGAAGAAACAGCTATTCACTAGTGACAAGGTGCTTACAATTGATATCACTTATCAAAGACAGACATTTACGAGAAAGCCTGGAACGATGACAGCACGTCTTTACAATTAAGGACAGCCACAGAAACTCATATAAGGTTGAGAACCCATAGCTTAAGCAAAAAAACCCAGAAAGTATTTTACGTAAAGTCAGAAATATTCCTGACTGAGTTTTATTTTCCCAATTTAATTTATATAGTTCTCTTCTGAAAAGCAACTGTGGGATAATACTGTTGTCTTTCATACTTACTGTGCCATAGGTATAACACAGAAATCAGTTCACTTTCTAATTAAAAGGATGTATTTTTAACAACCAGCCCTGCAGGTTTTCCTTAGGAGTCCAAAAGTCAAGTCAGAGTCTTGTATTATGCCTACTGCCAGGGGAAAAAGTAAATTTTTTTTTTTTTTTACTTGTATTCATGTAAGAGGATTAGAGACACTATTCACCAGTTCTGGCTTCGTAATATTATATTGCTTACTAATGAAGTGATAACGGTGCTTTGCATTAATCATATAAGGTCCATGTGCTCAGGGCTACAGCATGAATAACTGCAGATTATTAGAACTCTCTCAATTAAATTACTACATGACATTTAATAGTGGCTGTTCATGTGATAAACAGCTATGTCTTGAGTAGCAAAAGTTGCCATGTGCATGACAATAAGTGTGAGAATGGCTGTGCTGTGTGGGAACGGTCTTGGCTTGTATCCTGTTTCTGACTGTTGCCAAAAGTAGGAAGACTGAAGGAATGGAGGAAGAAGGTAGTGACATAAAATGTCTGCACTAAAGCCGTGCTCATTGTGAGCCATTTCATCAGCATTACTTTGCACTTACTAGAAACAATGGAGTGGAAAGATTGTTAAGACAGAGCAGCAGACATTTGGTGCCTTCTGTTACGAAAACCTATGTAGCTGATGTAATGAAGTCATTAAATCAAAAATTTGAGGAACGGGGGAGGACAAGAGGAGATTTTGCTTTGCTTATTTTGTTTTTAGTATGTCAAGTAATCACTTTTGTGTGACAGTGAGCATCAACTGTAACCATTGCTTAATGTATTTCTAGCAGAAGAGCCTTGATTTTCTTGGTCAAGGGTAGTACAGTTCTATACTTCTATAGATTTTCTAAGTTTACTTGGACCAGATGTCTAAATTGGATGAGTAATAAATATCCAACAGGGCCAGATCCAATGTGGAGGATTAAACTAATTTTCTTTTTAAAATGACAAATGCAACATGCTATATGAAAGAAGGAGAATCAATAAATTCATAAATATGAAGTGGAAAATACCTGTTGAAGCACCTGTATAGCAATGGTGCTATATTTGCTGGAATATATTTGCAATATATTTGCTGGAAAGTAAGTGGAAGTTACAAAAATAATGTAATGTTGTTGTGAAAAAAGGCAAGTAATTCTGTGATGTGTTAACAAAAAAAAACAAAGGATAATTATTCCGCTCTCTTTGGCACCAGTAATGCCTCAGGTAGAGGATTATGTTGAGCTCTGGGCTGGTTTGGTTTTAAATTACTCTGTCTATGCACTGAAGGAAATACAAAATGTAATATGTAGTAATAGAAGTACAAGATGTAATAAAGAATATTTAGGCTGTGTATTACAAAAAAAGGCCTTTCTTGCAAGAAGGGTGGTAAAATCCTGCGACCAGCTGCTTCAGGTTGCTGGGAGTTGTACTTCACTGGAGCTTTTTAAGAACAATTTGGACATCTGTTGGAAAAGGTCTCAAGGTATTTATCCCATAGAAATATGTCAAAACTTGAATGAGAAACACCATTAAAATTCCTTCCAGTTTTAACTTCCAGTGTTTCCATTGAAGAATATTCACTGACTTCCTAACAGACATCTTCCCTAAATGTCATATCCTGTGCTCTTCACAGAGGACCTAAAATGTAGTAGGAACAATTTGTTCCAGAGTTCAAGAGCAGAGGATGAGGCCTTATACTAAGAATTAGATTTCTCAAGGTATATTCCACATGTGAAGTGAGTAGAGGCAGATTTGTACCCATGCAGATCTACTGGCCAAACACTTAAGCTTTCCTTCTCATCTGCTGCTCTAACATGAGAAGGAAAGCTAATTTTATATCATCTGTGTGAGTTAAGTGTTCCCAGGTGTAAAATAATGGGGAAGAATTCTTTCACTGTTCCAAGACACAAGAATGATTCAGTTCCTATGAACCCCCCTGAGACTTCGTTCTTCAGAGTCACTTGGTTATTGTTCAGATTTGGAGGGTTTGGCCCCGGGGGGTGTCACGGGGTAGAGATTTTAGTCAAAGTCCGGTAACTTGCTAGTACTCCTAGGAAAATACATATCTGATTGCCAAAAAGTGTGACACAGATAATCCTTATATGTTTGCAGCAGATGTCAGTACATCTGGCAGTGGTAACAATGTCACTGTGACTGCAAAGACCTTAGGAGGTAAGCCAAACAATGATTTAGTTCTGTGGGTTTGATGGGAAATGGGCTGGGAGTTGTGACCAAAAAGTTCCCAAGATAAACTCTACTAAGGCATTTGTTCATCATCTTTGTGTAGTTTTGCAATTATGCTTGCACACTATTCCTGTTTTGATAGACCACAACATTGGTGTCACATAATGTAGCAAGCAAAATGAGCTGACATAACCCCATGTCTGAAATTCCAGTAGTTAGGAAACCTAGTAAGTTTTCACAACCTCTTCTAGACTGAACTGGGTCACTGACACAGGTCATGTAGGAGATCTCATTTCTTGTACGCCAAGAAAATAACATGTTTATAAACCAGCTGCCAGCCTTTGCCCCAACCGCATTTGTGTTGGATCTGTTTCTGTGGAGCTCTGAATGTTTGATTTTACCATTTCAGGAGCTATTCCAAAAGTTATTGAAAACTTTGATGTTTTGAAGGCATTTTTCCCTTATTAGTGATGGGGAATTCCAAATCTTCATTTTTCAATGCAGTATCCTCTCAACTTTTCAAGTTGAGCCTTTTTAAGTCCCTTCCAAAGGATTCCCAAACCTGTTGGAGAACTTTAGACCTTTGAGATCCAACTTGGAATCTCTTGTGACTTCTGAATCCTACTTTGTCATGCGCTCAGGAAGATCCAGATGAGAAAACTGTCAGAAAACAAAATCCAGACATCTGTTTGGCAAGCTGAGCTTCATAGGAAGTTTACTGAATCTAATGCCTCTTTAAAATGTGTCTTTTAATTCATCTACATTTCCTAGTAGACAGTCTTCAATAGTATTTTCAAATCTATTTTCCTAACTTCAAAATATGTAAATATAATTTCACTAATGAGGAGACAGTCACAAACTATTTAAGACTGAATATTTAATGAGAATTTTGAAATTAGTCATCTTAATCTGTATTTTAACACTAAATTATGCATTTTGGGAAGACCTCATTCTGTGCTACAATTTTTCTGTTGACAGTAATTGTGTAATAAACATTATTAATTTTTCAAGGGATTAAATGTTACGAGTTAAAAAATTTTAGTGCTGAAAATTGCTTCTTTCCTGGATGTTTAATAGTTATAAATGGCTCAAATGGAATAAAATTAATAAACTTCCATTTATCTCAGCTGTACATGCCATTTAAATATTACATAATAAGGCCAACTTTATATGTTAAAATTAGATATCCACAGAGCAAGTAGGTAGTAGTTACACCAGTTTCCTTTTTACCATGTCATAAAGCCTGATTTTTGTGGATTCTTTTAATTAAAACTGGAAACTTAATCTAGTTAGTAGTAAGAAGCTGTGCAATGATCAGGTAAACTCTTGTCTTCATACTTTTTTTTTCTCCTGTTTCCTGGGCCACTGTGAAGAGCACTGGTAGATACTTTTGCATATACATGTTAAGAGACACCAATGTTCTGATTAGCTCTGGCAGAATGAAAGAAAATCTCCAAGTCTTTTCTTCTGGCTGTTATTGCAAGCACACAAGCTCTGTAAAGCCTTCAAAATCCTCTAGGGTGAAATAGTTCCTTGAAAAAGCAAAATTGGAAAATATATTAAACTATATATTGATAAGGGGACAGTATCATAAACTGGATTGTCAGTCAGAATTTCCTTGTAGACATTCGCAGTGTAAAACTTTGATAGTATTCTTCACAATATGTATGACAGTTTTACAAAACATTCCCTGACCTAATGATGAGTATTGAGAGACATTGAAATGATGCGATTTGAAAAAGACACAGTTTCTTTTCACTCTAACTTTCTACTTGTGTAATTCTTAGCTCTTGAAAGCTCTAATGAAAGAACAGTGAGATCAAGGGAAACAAGGCAGTATGATGACCTTTGAATTGTACCCGATGGGTTTATGTACCAATAACGTGTAATCTCATAGGGGAATGTTGCCCTCTGCAGGGCTGTCTTGCCTAGTTCACCCCACACTGCGATGAGCTATTTTCACTATTAGAAGCATGTGGAAAAGAGCAAAAGGAGCCCTCTTTCTGCCTTTTTTATGCAGGGTAGTCATTGTGTCTCTGGGAGCTCCTAGGATTTTCTCAATGTGTTTGTTGTTCAGAATTGTTCACTAGCTCCTGTGAATAAGCTACTATCCATAGCTATTTAGAGATCTGTGATCAGGAGTTAAAGTTTATAATAGGAGCTGTTTTGGTTGAAACTTGAAACCACACATTTGGTTTGATTGAATGGAATTTGTGTTCCTATGAAGATGACCATTTCCTTTTTACATCTACGTTTAGTGTGTTCACAGCTTTATAGCCAGATGTTACGCATTGCCTCTCTAACAGAAGACAAGCAAATTCATTTTGAAGTTATGCTGTGCAGTGAAGCAAACTAAGTTCATAACAGCTATTCTACTTCTCTTTATTACAGGGGCTGCTTTGCCACCATTGAAACTAGGGCATTCAGTCTGTGCCATGAAAGCAGATGAAGGTCCATGCAAAGCAATCCATATGCGCTATTACTTCAATATTCAAAGCCGTGAGTGTGAAATATTTGAATATGGTGGATGCCATGGCAATGAGAACAACTTTCTAACACTGGAAGAATGTCAGAAGAAGTGTGTGGTTACAGGCCAGTACCCATTCTCTTAACTTCCTAGTAGTGCTTAATTTGCATCTGTTATTTCTTATCCATAAACCATATGAATTTTGGAAGCAGAGACCCTCTTCAGTTCCTATTAATACAGTAATATGATGCCTCTAATGATGCTCCCAAGTATTATACTATGTTGTAGTCATTTGAATTATTTTACATTGTGCAAGCAAACATTCAGGATTTGGAAAGATGTGTGACTTTTTTTAGTGGACCTGTAGAATAGAGAGACTAATGTAAGAAAGCTTATTTTCTAGCTAGAACTGTGTTTTGAATGATTTCTTGAAATTAAGTTGTTCTTGAAGCTGGGCTTAGCTGGTGGGCCACACAAGTGTTCTTCTTTTTGCTTTCAGATTATCTAACCCAATTCTTGATTTGGTGTTTCTCCTTCACTAAGAAACTGATACAAACTGTCTAAACTTGGACATTTGCTATGATTTAAGAGAATTAGAACTACAGTAGTAAATAATTCTCATTAAAAATTTCAGTTATAGCTGTTTGTCGTAAAAGATCTGTTTTGTTGAAACCTCATTGATTAATCATTAGAAAGAGGGAAATGAGATCCAAAATATGATACACAGCAGACTATGCAGAAAGTGCCTTGTGAATGCTGTTTTTGCTATTAAAAAAGATCTTTATAATTAACTAAGACTTTCAGCTTTGTGCAAGTAACCAACTCCTGTTCCTCACAGGAGGGTATGAAAATCAGAAGATTGTTAAAATTGGAAGCAAATGCCGGTGGAGCTAGAAATTTGACAAGTTCATATTTTTAGAGACTGAAGGAATTTAAGCCTTACTGACAGTTTCCTCTGGATACCTAACCAATCTTGCTTTCATGGGAGTTAGATGGAATGTGTCTGGCTGTGTAAACAGGAAGTGATAATGATGGAGGTAGTGGGTGGGTGGGGAATAGAAATAGAAAAAAAATTCCAGAATGAAAAGCTCATCAAAGGTATGTGATAACCCTCAGGTTATGTGTTTTTTTCCCCAAGTGAATTCATATATTTGATGTTCGGTTATTTAGACTTTGAGGTAAGATAGAAGGATTCATTCTCAATAGAAGGTACTTCTCAGTCACATATGCCTTGCCCAGCAGCAAAATATGTTACTGTTACTGAGCTCAAGACAGTGATGTTGGGCAATCCTGCAGTAGAGAACAGTTTACAGGTTATTCGGAGTATGTGCAACACAATCAGATGAAAATTGTTAATCTCTCCTGCCTATTAGAGATGTGCCCCGGCAGTACTCTACTGCTATGCAGATCTCTGTAGGTGTCACTTTGCCCTATTTTCATAATTTATTCTAGTCCTGGGCCTTTCCATAAAACTGGAAATCTGCTGATGTGCTACAAGCACTTCTAGAATTAGCGTAGTTCACCACAGCAAGTTCATATATGTCACCAAAAATCCTCCCAGAAATTTCAGATGATAAAACAGATTTCAGAAGCTCCTTCTGGGTTTTCTGACCCAAACAGACTATATGTATAAGACAAGCTGATTTATAGCATTGTGCTTTGTCTGTAATAAATGTAAATGTCTGTTAGCCATCTCTGTGTAGTAGTTAGATGAGGCCTTAAATCTCTGTTTCACAACACATCTGTGTTTCCTGATGAAAAATTACTATGAATTGTGTCACTAAATTTATTCTAGACATCAAAGTGTCTGTCTCCCATCCTGGTGTCAGAGTAATGGCTGGGAATGATGTGCGCATTACTCTAAGTAATATTGTAATAATGCTTCTGATCCTCAGAATCTGCAAACATTAACTGATGATACCAATGAGTCAGATATTGTATTGTATACAAAGCAATTTATTATCTTCCCTTTTACTGACAGAAAAAGAAAGGTGGTAAGGTAACAGAAAAATAAATGAAGTCCATAGAGTGCGTTACAATCAGAACAGGGAGTACAGCTCAGGGTCATTTACTTGACTAGTAGGTAGTAATCTTTTCCGTCTGTATGAACTACATGGTCTTGATACTATGTTATATAGTCTTAATACCTATTTGCACTTCAACAAGGTTGATCAAGTTTTTCAAATAGTTACAGGTGTTTAAAATGAAAGAAAAAATTACTAAAATTATTTTGCAGGTTCTGTGCTTCCTTAAACTACTTTTCAGCTACCTGTATAGGCAGCTGATGTTTTCTCGAAGATCCGTTTATGTAATAGACCGATTTGTTTGAATACAAACCAAAGCACCAACAGCACGTGTCATTGTCCAGCATAGGCTTTGCAAATTTCTCAAGTCTGTATTTTTGTTCTTTGACTTTTCTCCCTCTGTATCCAGTCCAGCCACAGCAAGGGAAAGAATAAATGAGTATATATGTCCATTATACATTTCTAGTATGACAATTTCCAATGATGTTTACTATTTATAGAGTAAAGCAAGGTTGCTCTCTTACCTAACTGAGCCAGAATAGTGTGGCTGAGTGGAACAAGGCCTCAACGGAACTGTATGTATAAATAGTAGCAAAATTTAACCTGATGTGTTGTACATGAGCACAAAGTTTCACTGGTGAGAAAATATTGAAGAACAACCAACAGGAAATCTCATCCTTCCTAGCAGGTGTCCCTGGTCTTGATCCCTTTGATCTCCCTAGCGAGGATTTTATTTACTCACTAAATACTAGGTCAAGGCATTATTTACCACTCACGCCTATTTTCTGATCTGCTGGCACCACCATGCATTTCTGTTATTCTGCCTGGCACTATAGACAATCCACTTCAAAGAAAAAAAAAAAGGCAAAAAGAAACAAAAAAAACTCCACCACAAATAGGAACCTTAAATATTACAATGAAAGGAGATTTCAGTTTTTTTTTTGATCAGTTATGTTTTGCTTTCAAACAATTGCATGGTTATAAATCTATTGGAATGGAAAAAACACTATGAAACTTCACCAACAACTTCTTAAAGTGAAAAAGATCAGATCACTCCGTACTTTAAGTGAATGGAAGTTTTTCAGTGCATTTTAGTCTTTGGATGGCTCCTGGCAAGATCCACTAACAAGCCTCAGGGACTGGATGTACTCCATGGAAGAAGTGGCAACAATCTGTCACAGTCTCACTCTATTTTCAGGAGTCATGTATAGGTAAACATAGTGTTAATGATACCAAAATAAGATATCTCTTGAAATTACGTCCCATTGAGGAAAAATTATATGGAAATCATAATTCCCTCATTACTAAATAACATAATCTAGTATTTCGAGTCAAAAAAGAGGTGACATAGAGAAAAGCATTTTCCTGAATATAAACATCGTGCCCTAAATGCAAGCACACATAAAGTCAATGTGTGTCAATAAAAGAAACTGTCCTACTTGGATCTGAGTTGGGTCTTAAGCCAACTTCTACTGAACTGCCTGGGAAGAGAAAGAACCTTTACGTCTGTGATTCAGTTCCTTTTCATGTTGAAGTCTCAGATACTACTTGAAGTGCAGATTACTTTTTTGATGCTCGTGTACCTGTATTTGTTTCTTTAGAAATCAGTTAAGATAAAAGCTGTTTACAACATTGTTCTTTCTCCAGATTATATTAGTCATACCTTGGGTTCTTCATACCAGAGTGAAAAAACCAGATACAGAAGTAAGATAGAATTCAAGTAATATGTTTTGAAATATTCATGAGAAACTACTGGCTAGGAGCAGATGACAGCTCTTGGCAGAAAATCAAACATGGCAGAAATTCATTGCAGAGGAGTGGAAGATCAGGGCTATGCTTAACCAGTATACAAAACTAACATGAAAATTACATTTTGCTCCTTTTCTACCTCTGGTATTTTGTTCTCACATTTCTACAAATTGTCCTATCAAAAATTCCAGCTGTTCATCCTGTTTGGGAGCTGAACCCTACAATATTTAAGGAGAGCAAATAGCCTTGTGCTGGTTATAGCACAACTTATAATCAGTAACACATTTCAGATTTCCTGTATCAAGGCCTAAGTGATAATTCTGATATCCTTATATCTGGGTCATTTTCTCCAAGCAGAATATGCCAGTTTTAGTCCTTGTTAGTAAAGAAAGTAGGGACATAGTGCTTGAGGTTTAAAAGGTAGGCGTTGGTCTTGCTTCTAACTTGGGCTGAAGGTTGCCACCCACCAAACTGGGTGTACGACTTAGGTTTAGCATTTGCTAATCATCACCCCCATAAAGGTTTATGGCTAAAGAAGCTGATGTCTTTCCTCTGCTTAGCCCAGCCTGGGTAGATTTTTGAGTATTAATTAATATTGTTTATTCCGTATGGTTATCCAGAAGGTATACCTCTATAAGCATTGAATGATGATAGTTTCATGAGCATTCTAGACAAATTAATATAATTTTAATGACTTAATTATTCAAATCCTGGCATTAATATTTTGCACAGTAATTGTCTGTTTATCTGACAAATGGCCTTTCTAGACTTAAAATTCTTCCTTTGTCATGTGGCTTTCATAAGTTTGTATCACGGATTTAACTGATTTTTTTTTTTCCTATGGACAACCGGTTTAAAAGTTTCTTTCCGTGGTTATTACATTTTCAGCACAGAAATTAATGAAACATGTAAGTTAAAAAAATTGTTGTTCATGACATTATAATAGAACAACCTTCCTTTAAAAGGTATTTTCTTTGCTTCTACAATGTTTTGTTTAGAAAATTGTGATCAATCTGTTTCTAGTTATGGCTCCACAAAGTTTAATTAATACAGTCTTTCAAGATAAAAAATGGAAAGTTATTTTTCTCAATTAGCATTCAGCATCAGAAAGACCTGGGGTCTAGGATGTGAAGATAGCTTTTCTTTTTCTGTCACCAGACTGGCTTTTGGTACTTTATATCTGCTGCCTGGTTTTGGGTTCAGCTGGACCAACAGCATTATTGCCATGCTTGGAGCAGGGTTGTTTGAAGGACTGCAGCTGCCAGTCTGTCATCCAAAACATGCGACTTCCTGGTAATTTGGAGTGTTTGTCCTAAATTCCAGTTTAAAGGCTAAGACAGAGGGCTAAACTGAAAAAGACAGGGTTGATAGATACAGAATTTTGGAATGAAAAGTGTCCAAAAGTCATGATCAGGTGCCATGAGTGAAGTTCTATATAATTATTTCTTCAGTCTAATGTTACTGTTTTGACTAATATTGTTATTTTGATTCTGACATATATGTTGGATCAATACCTGGAACAGATTTTCTGGACCAAATACTGTTCTGGCATATAATTGGCATAAATCCATAGAATAAAACTGAAAGCTATTTAAAATGAGAACTAGCTTAGTGTCTACATCTTGGTACTCAGCCCAAGTACAGTATTTGGTGTATGCATAATAGTGATCCAAGAATCTGCAAGCACTGAATCTGCTATGAGGAACTGGAGTAATAAAGGCTCATTATTTCTGTATTCTCTGAATGAATAACAGCAGATAAAATGGTTTGGTGGCATACAGTGTGCTGTTGACCACCAGCCATAAAACAATGTAAACTAATAAGATAACTTCCTTTTGCCAACATAATTCAGTTAAAAAAAAAAAATACATTTCAGTCGCTCTATTTGTTACATTTGTCTTTGTGCAGTCTCGCAGTATATGGTTGTATTCTTCTTACTTAATGTTTCCAGTACTTATTACTATAGGAAGATCACTTTTTAGTAACTCTAGAAATTGGACTGAAAAGACAGTATGAGTGATAGGAAAATGCTTAAAATAAAAAAAAAAAAGTAAGAGATATTCAGACAGTTATCACTGTGAAGAATGTGAAGGTCAAGGCTGCTAAAAATAAGCTAAAGGGAAGTTATGCGATATATATACAAATTGAAAAGAAAGGTTGTGAAGAGTCCAAGTATCTGATTTTCAAATATTAAGCACAAATACAAGAACAGATGAGCCAACATGAGTGAATTGGTTCCTTAAATCAGAAAAATGTTTTAAAATTTTTTAATGAATAAACCATCTAAGACAGAAATGAGTAATTCCCAGAACTGACTAAGGTCAGTACAAGAGAGTTCAGAGAGCCCAGTTACAGATTGGCCACTCCAAGACTCTCTAAGACAATGTTCAGATTCAAGATGCCTATTTCTGACTCAAGTCTCTTAGAAATCAGCTGTATTTTTTGTTTCTTGTGTCCAATACTCACCACTTTAGGGAAGAAAAAAATTACTTTGAAGACGAGTTTGCCTTGATCCCCTATTGTTTACTGGATATGAGTAGAATCACACATGTCATTGCTAGCACTAAGGTCCTGATTTTCAAGGCCATGAGTAGATATTTTGGGCTACTTAAGCTTCTAACATGGGAAAATACCTACTGATAAAAGTTTCTGGACATGACAGCAATTCTAATGTCTGTTATTTACACAGCAGATCTACTTAGAAATACAGTTTGTTTACAAAGAAGAAATGAACTCAGCTGTGGATTTGGCTTTTTGATGGAAACCAGAAGCAAAAAGACACTGTTGACATGGTAGTAAGATTAAAATATTCTAGGCCTATATAAACTCAGAATAAATACTTCCTGTTCTATGCCAGAAGAGTAGAGATGATATGCCAAAGTATGATTGCTGATTTTTGCCTGAATGGGACAGCTGAGGGAAATCAGTGAAATGGCCTGATGTGAGTGTCCATGGTTTAGGTCAGGGGTTTAAATGCTGAAGGCACAGCCTCCTACTAACAGGAAGCACTGAGAAAGATGTTCAAACAAATGGTATGTCACTCTAAAGTGCATGTCATGTCTTTAAATAATATTTTTGAAGGATGCCAGCTGCACTGTCCCAGAGATGGAAGGGAAAATATGTCATGATAGAATTTCTACCCAATAGACTTAATTGAAAATGTAACACAGGCAATGTTCGCGGAAGAGAAAAAACTGTGGTAGAATTATGGCACACAAGGACAGTACAGCTAATGCTAAAAGCTTATGAGTCATCAGCAGAACCTATTAAAATAACAACCATGGAAGGTATATCACTATATAAAGGATGGTTAGAAACACTTGCTCTGGAACATGAGTGGAGAATAAACTGCTAATATTCTTTTCAATTTTGGACTGTGAAGATATTGTTGTAAATAGCGGTGGTGGTGGGGACCTTATTAAAATTACGTATTACAGAAAAGGTGGGGATACAGGTAGCTCAATTATCTTCTGTTACTGCCTCCATAAAAAGAAAGGT